ATCAATACATTACATTTAAATAACCAAAACTACTTATTATTTTGTTGTTGTTGTTGTGTCTTTTTGTTTTTTTTGTGTAAAAAAACACAAAAACACTTCGATACGCACATCGAAGCTTCAGTGTCATATGTAACATCACTAATTTAAATGCGTCTAAGAATGCTTGTGCACAGGCACAGGCATGTATAAGGGATATAGTCAACTACTGGCCAGGCAGCAGAATACAATGTTTTTAGTTGCTTTTGTTGATCTATGTGAATGGGGATGTCTCGTAACTGTGATGTTGTCTGTATGTGAAACCTCGCATACCTTTTAGTATTTTGTTGTCAATAAAATGCACCCTAAAACTGCATTTAAAAATTGGCACAATGTGGTTTTTGGGTGAGTATTGCATGTCCCTGTGCAGAATGTGAAGTCACCTTTATGAAGGGCTTTATACAAGTTGTTTCAAAACAGCTTTACAATGATAACAGGAAAATTGTGCATTTCAGCTGAAGTCAGTTCAGTGTTGATTCAGTTCAGTTGAAGAGATAAATTATTAAATTAATTTCATCTGTAAAGCAGTTACAAAAAAAATGTCATCCATTGTCAGATCAATAATATTGTTGAATATTACTTGTTGCTTAAGGCTTTCCGGTATTGTTGGTAACATGCTGTTGCTCAAGATTTTTAGGTACTGCCAACATGCTTGTTGCCTTGGCTCACTCGGGTAACTGCAAAAAAAAAAAACATTCAGATTTGCGCTCAGTTTATGTTGGGGGATATTGGCATATGGTTTTGTTTTGGGGGGTTATTGCTGCTCTCCCTGCTTTTATGCATTTTAGGCTGCATGGATGCGCAGGGAGTTCTTGCCCAGAACGGAACCATACCGCCAATCCAAACTGTACGCTAATTGTCAATCGTATTTGACGATAGTCGTCCTGACAGGAATCAGACGCCATTTTTCTTATGGTGCAACGAGTACATAAGGATTTATAGGAAGTGTTCCCGGTTCCGGCTGACATAATCTATGCAGCCTAACATTGAATTATAAAAATGTATAATATGTTATGTGTATGCTAGGTCAAAGAGATGTGTGATTTTAGTCTAGATTTAAACTGACAGAGTGTGTCTGCTTCCCGGACAATGTTTGGAAGACTGTTTGAAGACCGCCAGCAGTCGATTTTGATATTCTAGGTATTATCAACTGTCCGGAATTTTGAGATCGCAATAGACGTGAAGGACTATAATGCGTTAAAGGGTCACTCCACCCATTTGCATTAAGAGGTCCATTGTTAGACAACCAGTCATACTATTGAATGGTCGTGCAACATTCTTTCATTTTCCCCTGAGACGAGAGAAATCTACTATTTACCTTTTTCACTTCCTCCTACAATGACGCAAAAATCGTCATTTGACGTCATTGTAGGAGGAAGTGTAAAAAGGGGGGATTTCTGTATAGACTACAAGCACAAATTCCCACCCTTTCAAACCCGCCCATAGGGGGTTGTGCCTAATGCGCTAACAGAGCTATCACAGATCAGTGGGTGGGACTTCACTTGCAGATACTGAAAGCAATATCAGCCATCTTGTTTATAAGCTAAGCTAACAAGCGCTGTGGATAAAGGAAGTTACGACAATGACGGAAGAAACTAAACATGATATGGAAGTAGAGGATTTTGAAATTCTGCTGCTCGAATCCGCTCTTCGTGGCTATCTTTACGAGCCGCAATATAGTGAAGAGCAGCTGAGGCTGATGGAGGATCAGGAGGCGGCTGCCTGTCGCGAACGAGGAGCCCGGACTGGGTCGAGCTGAGGCGGGCTGCTGGTGCCTGTGCTCTCGCTGTGCGCTACGGACACAGATAGAGTCCGTCTGCTGCAGAGAATTTCAACGATCGCAATTTCTCCTAGACTAAATCTCTGAATCAGACGACCACACGGACGTTTGTGTTGTGATGTGAACCATCCTAGTTTCGCCTGACTAAAAATCCAGGTATCATGCAATAATTCACCATATAGAAAGAAATACAAACGAGTAATTCACTAATGAGTTTGCCAATGTGGAGATGTATTTAAATTAGGGATGGGGTCGTTGTTGTGGGAAAAAGGAGGCTGGAACCGGCGAACATTTAAACATTTTAATAGTAAAATAAACAAATACAAAACAAAAGTATAAGCCAGCTGGCCACACACAACAGAAACAAAACATAAAATCAGGCCTGTTCCTTTTGTGCTTCCGCTCCTCCGTAAGAGATATGAGACCGCTGCACAGGTGCCGTTCATTATCACTCGCGTCGTCCTCTCACGTCCCTCGCCCTCGTCCTGCTCGCCACAGCCAACTAACTAGACATTTTTTGTGAAATGAATTTCAAACTCATTTAGCAGCTAGCCTTCTTGTAGACGGAAGAGTGATTTCTCTGATGTTTGCGCTGTTCTCGATTAGTGGGAGTGGCTTGCGGAGCTGTGCAACGTGGTGCATTGTGGGAGTTGTTGTCTTACATACAAATGCGCCCTAAAGTTATTTTCTGTCTTTTCTCGGTCAAGAGGGCACCAAATTCAAAATTTCTTTTACATTTCGACTACATATATAACCCACTTTCAATAAAGATTAATGTTGAAATGGGTGGAGTGACCCTTTAAGAGCTTGCTCAAGTACTCGCTAAACCATTTAGTGCTTTGTAAGTAATCAGCAATATTTAAAAATGTATACAATGCTTAATAGGGAGCTGTGGTGGCAAACAATTTTCTATTACTGAATAAGAGACAAACATGTACCAATTGTCTTTAAAGATTATTTATTCCCTTGAAAGGAACGGTCAGCAATCACACAGTCATTCAGAGTGGCTGCAGACTGTGACAATGTGAGGAGGGCATCCTTCCTTCTTTATAGTCCCTACCCCACCCCCCAAGGTTATTTCTCTATGCCAAATGAAGATATGCCTTAAGCAAATCTAACGAAGTGTAAGGGTGTACTCACACTAGCCAGTTTGAACCTTGCCCGAGTGCGTTTGACCACCAAAGCGCGGTTCTTTTGACTAGTGTGAGTGCTCCGAACCGTGCCCGGGCGCGGCTCGATTAGCCGGCCCTGGCCCGCTTGGAAGAGGTGGGCCAGAGCACGGTTCACTTGGACTCGGGCGCGGTTCGCATGCAGTGTGAGCGCTAACCGTGCTGGAGCACGGAACAGGACGCGTGACGTCATGGTTTTGCGACGCTCCAAAACCAACATGGCGGGGAAAGGGTCGCTTTGGTCTACGGCAGAGGTGCAATGCTTGTTGGAAATTTGGGCAGATGAGAGCATACAAGAACAGCTGGACAAAACGCATAAAAACTCAGATATATTTAGAAAAATCCGTGACTATCTTCTTCGTCATGGATATCAAAGAACTAGCGAGCAGTGTAGAGACAAGGTAAAAAAACTGCGGGCACAGTATTTAAGGGTACGGGATGCACTCCGTAAATCGGGCAGCTCTGCAGAAGAAAAGGAAAAATTTCAATGGTATGACGCTGTCGACAGTATAATTGGCAGCAAACCTTCTAGCCAACCGAATGTGCTGGAGTCCCATCCACGAAGATCGCTGGATTCTACGTCATCTGATACGGAGAACACAGGACTGGAGAGATCACAGAGCTGTGAGTAACATTAACATACATACCAGTTCCATTTGATAGCTATTCTGTTAAATCAGTATGTGCATGTCCCTAAAGTAAATTACACTTCGTTTGACTACGAATCCAACCAAGATACCATGTTTACTGTAGTAAAATCTTGGTTTCCACAAACTGACCATGGGTATGCTGTTAAAACTGGGTTTTACTACAAAAAGAAAAAAAATAGTTTACATAAGGGATGTTTGTTTAATGTTATTATTAAAATGATTACCTTTTGTGTTTATTTTGCTTTTATTTCTGTAGTTACATCGGTCAATTCAGACTCAACAATCGCTTCAAACACTGGTGATGAGACACAGGACACATCAGATAACACTGAGACAATACCTTCAGAACAAGGCAAAAAGAGAAAGAGAAAGGTAGAAGTGAGTGACACGATGACTGCCTTTCTAGATATGCAGAAAAAACAGCATGAAGAATTCATGCAAGGGAAGCACTTGCATTACCAGCAAGAAAAAGAAATGCTTGATAACTGGATGAAGGCTCAAGTACAGATGGAGGAGCGTCGACTGCAACAGCAGAGGGAGGAACGCCAAGAAACAAACATGATGTTCATGCAAACCATGAACAGACTGTTTGATGCCATGATTCCCTCACACTCACACAGCCCTCTCCTCATGCTCCTCCTCCTACACCTCCTCCTGCTGCTACTCCTCCTCCTACTCTTCCTCCTCATCTGCAGTATCCCTACCATGCTGAGACATCATCATCCTACTCTGAGCTTGATAACTCTACACATGTTTATCGCAACCTGTAAAGGCACAGTTGTTTACGTCCATGTTTTTATGTTGTTATTGTATTTGGACGTTGCCTTTCATTATAAGGGTTATTTAAGTTTTATCTTGTTTTTCTTTTTAATTAATAACACGTTTGAAATAGGTAAATATGACCAAAAGTTGTTTGATTTCCTGTAGCATACTTTTACTATGCACTTTAACCTAACACTATGCACTACCTCAAACCTCTACACTTTATAATTCTACCTCGAACCTCTACAATATATACCACACACTTCCATAAATTATACACCACACACACTAGGTAGCCTATTTTGTTTCACCACTGCACATGGTCGTGTTCTGTGAAGTACTGCTTTTTTTATTTTCCTGTGAGAAGTGCTCCAGAGTTTATGATTAAAACTTTTTGTCTGCATCATCTTATGTTTTGTGTGTTATTTGCAAATAACTCCTGCACTGTTCTTGAAATGAACAATATGACTTTATTGACAACAGAACAAAAATAAGTCATAGTAAACCAATAAGTACAATAAATATACATGCACTGAATGTAGTAGCGGCATGACACAGAAGTATGTAATGAAAAGGGTTAGTATGTAATGAAACCCTAAGTATGTAATGAAAACCATCCTCCTGAAATATACACTATCTCTCTAAAAATTTGAGAAATATGAACACAATGCATCTCTGGTGGCATTTGAACTAGTGGCTGTATTATGAGGATTCCATTGACTGTTCACATTTTCCTCTTCTGTGGCAATCTCCTCACATTCCTCACCATTTACTTGACAAAAATTGTGCAGAACGCAACATGCACTGATAATAGTGTTTATGTTGTATATGCGGCAATCACACCTCTTCATTAAGCATCTCCACCTTCCTTTCAGGAGGCCAAATGCCCTTTCCACAGTCATCCGTGCCTTGCTGAGGCGGTTGTTGAAGGTGGCCTGTGCAGGGGTTGTTTGTTGATTTTCTGGATATGGTTTCATCAACCATGGCAGTAATGGATATGCAGCATCCCCCAAAATCACCACTGGCACATCTACTCCTTCAAACCTCTCTGTTATCCGAGGGAACAGTGTATTACTCTGACCCCTCTCAAACAAGGATGAATTGGCAAAAACTCTTGCATCATGAACCTTCCCCGGCCATCCCACATTAATGTCCCAGAACATAAGTCGGCTGTCAACCACACCTTGCAGAATAACAGAGTAGAAACCTTTCCGGTTGTAGTAGTCTGCAGAGCTAACAGGTGGAGCCAAAATCCCAATGTGAGTGCCATCAATAGCTCCTCCACATTGTGGGAAGCCCCACCTGTCTCTGAATCCCTGAATTATGCTTTCAAATTCCTGTTCAGATGGTGTTCTGATGAAAAGGGAAAGCAATTTTTTCACAATTGCAGAGGCTACATGGTTGGTAATGCTAACAGCAGTTGATTGACCAATCCCAAATAAATGGGAGATGGTCCTGAACTCTACATTTGTGGCCAGTCTCCATATGCATATTGCAACACGTTGGTCCACGGGCACTGGTTTTCTGAATGAAGTGGTCTGTCTTTGAAGGTGCGGCTGCAGGCTGTTGCACAACAGCAAGAATGATGTCCTTCTCATTCTGAAATTAGCCTTCCACTCACAGTCTGTCCAGCTGCTGAGAACATGCTGCCACCACACACCAGATCTCTGCCGAATCCATATGGTCCTGCAGCAGAATGGAGAAATATTGTTAACTGTATATAGTTTATGCATACACAATTACCTTACAGCACTTTGAAGTGTAATTAATAAACAACAAAGTACTACTCCAGTGCATACATAACAGTTATGTGTCCCGTTGAATACAGGTGTCTTAATACAAGAATGTAGCTAATATTAACCAGCAAATGATATTAAGTTACATGATTATTAGCTTTAGAACGCTACTGTCATAATTACAAAAAAAAAAATTATACACATTTTATTTCAAATTTCACGATACACTTTTCAATTGTATTTAATGACATTTCAGTATATTAATTCTTACCTTGTCGATGTACGGGAACTGTAGTCCGTAATCAAAGCTGCAAAGTCCTTGCTGCACTTCAGCTGGTACCTTGCAAACCTCCTCATACGAGCAGCACGATTACGTGCAAATTTTCGCGCCACTAAAGCGACACATCTGTTTAACAACAGGCTGTGAGAGGGCTGTGGACCACCGTGGACCAAACGACAGAAAATTATCCACAATGACAACAGAGCGATGGACTCCATTGTGTTCAGAGAGCGCCGCTCTTCTTGTTTATCCCGAAACCGTCGCACCATAATGACGTAAGCGTGCTCCGGCACGAATGCTGAAACCCTATGTGAGTGCAGGCCAGAGGGGGAGTGGGGACAATCGTACTCGGGCCCGGTTCATGGCAACCGTGCCTAGTGTGAGTACACCCTTAGTTATGGCTATCTTATAGTGGAGGCCCTCTGTCTCGGTCATAAACATCAGCCACACATTACTTTTTGTCAAGTCACGTATACAAGGTCATACAGATTATTCTGTTCTGACCAATTGCGTAGCTTGAGCAAAGCAAGCAAACTTTCATCTGCAATGGTGAAAGTCTCAAATTGGTTAAGTCTTGTTTGTCTCTTAATGTAAGCAAAACAGTTTGCATGTATTTCACTGTACGAAAATAGAACTCGGTGATTCCAGACATCATATTTAATGGTGAAGCGTATCAAATCTGTGACGCATGTTAAATATTTAGGAATAATAATAGTGTTACGGTTGGTGTAGGCAGAGGAAGACGAGGAGAACAGGATTTCCAAAAACAATATACTTTACTTAATAAATCAAAACAATAAACAGGAGCAGACGGGCAGAGGATACAAACACACCTAATACCAACGTTACATAAACGAGAACCGACAAGGAGTGAGGGAGAACACAGGGTTACATACACAGAGAACGGATCATGGGAACAAGACACAGCTGGGGCAAATTAACTAGACACAGGTGAAGGAACTGAACACAAACGAGGAGCGGGAAAACTAACACAGGACTAAACCAAATCACAATGACGGGGGGAAACACAGGAATACAGACATAACTGTAACATTACGCCCCTCCTCGAAAAGGCGTGTCCCCACGCCGTATAAACATCAAATAGGGGCGGGAGGGAGGGCGCCCTGGAGGCTGACGAGGGCGTGGCTTTCCCGGAACAGGAAGCCTCCAGGGCGGAGCAGGCCGTGCTGATAGCCAGGGTGAAGACGCCCCTTCAGGTGGCCAGGGTGGAGATGCCTCTTCCGGTGGCCAGGGCGGAGAGACCCCCTCGGGTGGCCAAGGCGGAGCAAGCTGGTCAGGGGGCCATGGCGGAGACGCCCCTTCAGGTGGCCAGGGTGGAGACGCCTCTTCCGGTGGCCAGGGCGGAGCAAGCTGGTCAGGGGGCCATGGCGGAGACGCCCCTTCAGGTGGCCAGGGTGGAGACGCCTCTTCCGGTGGCCAGGGCGGAGCAAGCTGGTCAGGGGGCCATGGCGGAGACGCACCATCAGGTGGCCTATATCCCCCCCCCAAAATGTTCTTGGGGAGAGTGCCAGGCTCAGGGACGTGCATCAGGTCAGGCTTGGGAGGGCTGGATGGGACCAGTAGAGAAGGCTCTGGCGGGCAGGCGACGGGCTCAGGCTCTGGCGGGCAGGCGACGGGCTCAGGCTCTGGCGGGCAGGCGACGGGCTCAGGCTCTGGCGGGCAGGCGACGGGCTCAGGCTCTGGCGGGCAGGCGACGGGCTCAGGCTCTGGCGGGCAGGCGACGGGCTCAGGCTCTGGCGGGCAGGCGACGGGCTCAGGCTCTGGCGGGCAGGCGACGGGCTCAGGCTCTGGCGGGCAGGCGACGGGCTCAGGCTCTGGCGGGCAGGCGACGGGCTCAGGCTCTGGCGGGCAGGCGACGGGCTCAGGCTCTGGCGGGCAGGCGACGGGCTCAGGCTCTGGCGGGCAGGCGACGGGCTCAGGCTCTGGCGGGCAGGCGACGGGCTCAGGCTCTGGCGGGCAGGCGACGGGCTCAGGCTCTGGCGGGCAGGCGACGGGCTCAGGCTCTGGCGGGCAGGCGACGGGCTCAGGCTCTGGCGGGCAGGCGACGGGCTCAGGCTCTGGCGGGCAGGCGACGGGCTCAGGCTCTGGCGGGCAGGCGACGGGCTCAGGCTCTGGCGGGCAGGCGACGGGCTCAGGCTCTGGCGGGCAGGCGACGGGCTCAGGCTCTGGCGGGCAGGCGACGGGCTCAGGCTCTGGCGGGCAGGCGACGGGCTCAGGCTCTGGCGGGCAGGCGACGGGCTCAGGCTCTGGCGGGCAGGCGACGGGCTCAGGCTCTGGCGGGCAGGCGACGGGCTCAGGCTCTGGCGGGCAGGCGACGGGCTCAGGCTCTGGCGGGCAGGCGACGGGCTCAGGCTCTGGCGGGCAGGCGACGGGCTCAGGCTCTGGCGGGCAGGCGACGGGCTCAGGCTCTGGCGGGCAGGCGACGGGCTCAGGCTCTGGCGGGCAGGCGACGGGCTCAGGCTCTGGCGGGCAGGCGACGGGCTCAGGCTCTGGCGGGCAGGCGACGGGCTCTGGCTCGGCAGGGCTGCAGGGGAGGGGCAGGCGACGGGCTCTGGCTCGGCAGGCCTGCAGGGGAGCTCTGGCTCGGCAGGCCTGCAGGGGAGCTCTGGCTCGGCAGGCCTGCAGGGGAGCTCTGGCTCGGCAGGCCTGCAGGGGAGCTCTGGCTCGGCAGGCCTGCAGGGGAGCTCTGGCTCGGCAGGCCTGCAGGGGAGCTCTGGCTCGGCAGGCCTGCAGGGGAGCTCTGGCTCGGCAGGCCTGCAGGGGAGCTCTGGCTCGGCAGGCCTGCAGGGGAGCTCTGGCTCGGCAGGCCTGCAGGGGAGCTCTGGCTCGGCAGGCCTGCAGGGGAGCTCTGGCTCGGCAGGCCTGCAGGGGAGCTCTGGCTCGGCAGGCCTGCAGGGGAGCTCTGGCTCGGCAGGCCTGCAGGGGAGCTCAGGCTCGGCAGACGTGACGGGGAGCTCAGGCTCGGCAGACGTGACGGGGAGAAACACTGGCTCAGTGTCAAAGTCTATAAGGTTCATCTCCTCTGGAACCTGGACGAGGAGAGGCACTAAGGACTCTGGTGTGACTATCTCGGCGGGACTAGACTCTGGGATGATGGTTGGCGTGGTGGAGATGGCTGGAGTTGGTGGTTGAGTGGCGATGTCATCAACCTCAACTACGGTGAAGGGTGAGCCACTCAACCATAGCACATGATCCAGGTAGTGGGCAAAAGATCCTGGGATAACCGCCGCTGGAGCTTGATGATGAAGCGTATCATCTAACCCAAACCAAAAGACGGTCTTCTGGACCTCTTCTGCCCAGCTTACCCCTTCGGAGAGCTCCAGGAATTCAGCAACATACTCCTCGATGTGCCGGCCGTCTTGGAAACAGATCAGCTTAGATTCGATGGAGTTGGAAGGGGTGAGGAAAATACCCATCTTGTCACTTTCTGTCTAGGTCGGTTCTTCTGTTACGGTTGGTGTAGGCAGAGGAAGACGAGGAGAACAGGATTTCCAAAAACAATATACTTTACTTAATAATCAAAACAATAAACAGGAGCAGACAGGCAGAGGATACAAACACACCTAATACCAACGTTACATAAACGAGAACCGACAAGGAGTGAGGGAGAACACAGGGTTACATACACAGAGAACGGATCATGGGAACAAGACACAGCTGGGGCAAATTAACTAGACACAGGTGAAGGAACTGAACGCAAACGAGGAGCGGGAAAACTAACACAGGACTAAACCAAATCACAATGACGGGGGGGAACACAGGAATACAGACACAAGACAGACATAACTGTAACAAATAGACCAACACCTGTCTTTTAAAAAGCAAGTAAGAAGGGTTATAAATAATGTTAAATATAATTTAAATAATTTTAAAATCATTTCTTAATAATTTTAATAATTTCTAAATCAGCTGCACTACTTTTTGTACATACTCTGATTCTCCCTCACTTGTCGTATTGTATAACAACTTGGTCACAAGCAGGTGCAACTACACTTAAGCTGGTGTACTCCCTCCATAAACAAATTATGAAAGTGCTAGACAAAAATACAAGGGACTATCATCATTGTACTATTTTGAAAAGGTTCAATTTTTTAAATTTTAATAATTTTGCATTTTATACTGATGTGTGCCTGATGTACAAAATTATTCATAATCTTGCTCCCCCTCCTCTTAAGGGATGCCTGGCCCATAACGGAAGTGCCGGTAGGACTACAGCATCTGCCAGTGGAGATTTGAGTTTTTTCGGTTAGAGTAGTGGGGATATGAAATTCCTTACCCACAAACATCCGAAGCATTGATAGCTTCTCAATTTAAAAAAAACAAGCTTAAGTACTGGCTACTATCAGAACAAATCTGCAACCATTAATGACTGTGTTGTAAATTATCTGTTTTATAGTAAATCTTACATTCCTGGACATATGTATTGTGATGTTTTATGTGGTGTATATGTAATATTGTATGTTATGTTATTTTATTTGTTTACCTGCCCAGGGGCAGCAGATATAAATTAGCTATTAGCTAACTCTGCTGCAATTACTTTTAATTGTGCATTGTCCCTGTAAAAATAAACAATAAAATGAAATGAAATGAAAGGCTTAACAGACTTAGCATACAACTTGAAAAAAGAACTCCAGAAAGCAGTCTTCATAACTTTAGTGAATTTAATGGTGATTCGCTTCTCAATATTTTTTTCTGTAAAACTACAAACAAGTAGAAAAAAATGTATGAATATTATGTTCATATTTACGTACACATAACCAGCTTAACATTAAGTCAGTCAGCTCAGAAAAATAAAATTACTTTCAAAATTATTTTTCTGATTATACTGGCAGAATGTGTTCTTGTGTTCAGCATAAACTCATGATGATTTTTTAGACAACAAGACTTAATATATAATGTCATCTTGATTCTCAAGTAAATGTATCTTGATTTAAGAATGTTTAGAGACTCAGGAAGAAAATCTTTTTTTTTTTGTAGTGTAATATTCATGACAAACAACTTTGATTTGTGCACTGCTTGCAGAATAGTGCTCTGGTTAAAGTAGCAACAGTACTATCTTGACTACATTTTTTTAATGTTTGACAGTAGTTTTTAAAATAAAGTAGCGTAATGAGCTAAATAATTAATTTACTTTGTTTGACTCTTTTGACACTTTCCCTCTTTATTTATCTGTTTAGATGTTGTCACTTAAATTCAACTTAGTTGTTTTTGTGTCTGAGAAATGGTCTAGTTTAATAGAAAAAAAACATATAATCTGATGTGTTAAGGAAAGATAAATTTAGCAAATTACAATAGTGATTTTTCAACCAACCAATGAGTGCACGGGAATGTTAACGAGCAGATCCTCTGTCACTAATTTCACTGTAAC